TAGTTGTAGTTGTAGTTGTAGTTGTAGTTGTAGTTGTAGTTGTAGTTGTAGTTGTTGTTGTTGTTGTCGTTGTCGTTGTAGCTGTAGTTGTAGTTGTTGTTCTAGTTGTCGTTGTACCTAAAGCGTTGTTCCATATTCGTTATTATAGATCATTTGTGTAAAATAATGAATTAGTCTGATTTTTGACATAAAAGGTGATATAGAATTTAGTGTTTCCTAAAGTTTGTAGTAATAACTCAATTTTTTAAACTAACGGATGCTCTCTAAAGAATGGCCAACTTTTGTTTTCTGCCTCTCGGGGACTTGATCATTGTCTTTGGATCTGATTCTGAGCTTGTCGGACAAAAAATTTAATTCTCTACAATTATTCACTTTGTTTTTCAGATAGTTTTTTTCTTATCAATGTAAGATTTAAAAGATCAACACTTGCTAGATCATCCATCGGCGTGGTGAAACATTAATTCTCATGCCGTTGGCTGCAGAATTTAATTCTGAACAGAATGGCGTAAATGTTAATTTGAGCAACTGAAACACTTAGACTGCTTCGAATAAATACAGAACGATCACATGAGTTTGCCAGGAAAGGGTTTTTTTCGGTGTTTCCACATTTTTCATTTAAAAAGTTTTTCACCCAAATATTTATTCTAAAATCCTGAGAAGGATATCAATAGACACAGAATTTTATTTGGAATATTGTGGAATATTTGACATTTCAGCAGAGCCGCTATTTAAAAATTTCATCGCTTTTGTGTTTCTTTGCTCGCGCAGAAGAATGATTTAGTAGATGTTGATCTTTTAAACCTTACATTGATATGAAAAGAACTATCTGAAAAGCAAAGTGGATAGTTGTAGAGAATTAAATTTTTTGTCCGACAAGCTCAGAATCAGATAGATCTTAAGATGATTATCAAGTGGTTGAAAGACAGAAAACAAAAGTTGGACATTCTTTATGGAGCACCCGTTATAAACTTCTAAAACTTTCTCAGATACAACTGCACTGTGCACCACCAAGATGATAAACATGACGAGTGGGTTTGATTACCGAGATGTGAATTTTGACACTAATATCTTCATTTAATTTCAACACGCACATATTGAAACTCTGGCAACACTACAAAAAGAAACAGCTATCGAAATATTTCAAGAGATGTATGAACTCGGCACAGAAAAAGAATTATTTTGTTCAAACTCCTAAGTTCAATTCAATTAGATAGAAATCAAAATTTAATGTTAACTAACTGTGCTTGCTGTGTTATCTAATCACTTGAAATATGACAATTGCAGTTTTCTCTCAGAAAAAAATCCATAAACTTACGAAGGTCATCGAATGAAAAGAATCAAATCAGAGTATCGATTTTAATTTTTCCTTCGGTCTTTCATGTATTCCTATGCACAAAAGATTTCGGAGTTTAGATTGATGAATATAGTCTATATGATTTATCTTCTTTTACTTGTGCCCTTCGTCCTTTCTGTTTTGTTGCTCTTACTTATCGGAGGACAGAGTTGTTCATTGAAGCTAGGTATTGGATAACAAATAGGAAAATCATGACATCGAGAATGATTAACACACAAATACTCGGATTCATTACAACTATTGCTTGAAACTTCACATTGAACTAGCTCAGAGCAAGATAGTAAAAATTGATCGGCACAAATGCTTGAGTTAGGAGAAGTGATTGTACGGAAACAGGAACACGCAGAATGAGTCGAACATAGAGTATATTCAGTCAAGTCATCGTATGATTGATATTTGGCTCGAATTATCAATACACTAATAAATTAAGAGCAAGACACAGAATAAAAAAAAACGAATCGGCGTTAAAAGTTTACTTGAAAAGGACCAATATGAAATAACAAATTCCTGTCAATACCATAACACTTTTGTGAAAATGAGACTCCGTTCTATATCAAATAAATAGTCTCATAATGCATCATGTAGGTGTAACTTGAGTGAAAAGTCATGGTTTTAGGCATTTTCTATATGAGAATTAAAGTCAACAAACAAAAAATCGTTAATGATTAAATCTGATATCTTTGACGTGTTAAATAAGTGCTTTAAACAGAGAGCTTAGTTACTATCGATGATGTTGATATTTGAAATGGAGCACGCATAAGAAATTGAAAACTAATTCATTGTAAGTATAAACAGAAATCAATAGAAATTATTTCTTGTTGAAATTCTTGATCCGATAACGATGTCATGCGTAGAATTTGATCAACAAGTAGCAATACTAGTGCAGGAGTTAAATTTAACACAGTTGTAAGATCACTGTGATAACAAATAGTGACTAAATAGTAACAAAGTAAATTTTTAAATTCAAAGAAAAAGAAATTCTATCATGAACATTACATTATCATTTTCTTTTTCTAAGATCGATTGCTATGCCATCGACCGAAAACATCAAAGAATACTGTAGCTAAAACAAGCGGAATTTTCCTCTTACAAATAGAAATTTAATCAATTAATCCCGATTGCTTACCGATTGCATCGCTAAAATGGAATTCCGACAAAAAGAATTTCGCCATCTGAATTTTAACATGTTTCGAATTTCTACTAGAAGTTGGAACTCTTGTGAAATTACGACGGAATGTTTTTTAGCTGGACATTTTATGGTTCATTTCCCATCAGAATTTGTATAATATGTATTGAAAAAAATACATATATAGTTATATATATAATTACTAAAGTTTTAATTCATATGAGGGTGTGAGTGCGGTTGTGGGTCTCGATATTTGATTTCCCTATACTCACACCCATGCCCTTCTTCTTTTGGATATTATTGATGCTAATTTAAGGAAATAAAAATACAGATAGTTTGCTACAGGACATTCAGCTCTTTCTAAGTCATTATTTGCTTATTGTTTGTGAAACAATGAAAGCCACATTTTAACATATATTCTGAATGTAGTTGAGAAATATATTGTCGTATTGCCGGTGGAAAATTGACAATAAAACAAAAAATATAAATCATCAAAGCTGTCCTAATTCAGATGGAATATGGACAAGAAAATCCCACGAAAAAAAAAGCGTTGTTGTGATTCAATAAGAATTTTATCAATTGTGGAAATTTGCCAACTTTATCGAAATTCCATAGAACCATTGCATCTACCACGAAGGACGAAAATGACTATAAATAGTAATAGTTTTAGTTTCTCAGCTTTTTACCCATTTTGCTTATTTTGTATTATTATTTGAATTTTATATGATAACAATTCTTTTATTATTTTCGTTTTAGTTAACAAATTATTTATTTTTATTTTCTGTTTAAGATATAAAAAAAAGTAAATATTCTTTTGTAACTTTTAATACATCCTACGGAGAGAAGGCCTTCCATACATCGGCGTGAAACTGGCCAAGCCTATCTTGGTGCCCGGAGCATGTAAAAGCCGCTGTATAGATTCTATCTGCTGTATGTTCTATACACGTTAGTTTCTATGTCTGTATGTGACGAGCTTCGGCTCTCTACGGCTTTTCTTTGAAGCAAAAGAGAGAGAGCAAAAGAAAATTTCTTTGTTTTTTTTTGTTCATTTATTTCAAAGTATAGAAAAAGAAACGAACTAAGAGGAAAAAACAATTCACAAATCTTATTCGATAGAAAATCGTTGAACACGATGATTATTATTATCGACGACATAGAGATTACCATGTCGATCGAAAGACAAACCAACGGGGGAGTTGAACTGATTTGCTCCTGCTCCTTGACCATTTCCACCCACAATTACAGTGCCTTGTTTCTTGTCTCCTTGTGTCCAACGCATTACACGATGATTTACCTGGTCTGCTATATAGAGTGTACCCAACGTATCAACGAAGAGTCCATTAG